TCATAAATCTTGTTCACATACAAAAGATTAAAAAAAAATACATAATAGCAAGATTAACTACCTCTAATCTTGACACAAAAGTGACTTAGCTATCCATAATTATGGTAGCTTGCTTCACAAGTTTCAAGAGGAGATGAATGAGCATCCACGTCGAAGAATCAAACTTGGATGCAAATCTAGCTTCTATGTGTAAAATCTTACACTTTGGTGAAGAAATCTCAGAAAATAAGGTTTTGGTGTGTAAAAGTAGGTTCTCATCCCTAAAAATGATCAAAAGTACTTATATAGTAAATTCAGGATCTGTCATGTTCGCACTGCAAACAAATTATTCGCCTAACAAACATCAAATTAGGCACTTGATGTGCCTCAACACAGTTAAACCGCCTCTGAGATAACTCTGAAGTTCGTTGTGCGAATGATTATTCGCCTAGTGAACTACTTCGCCTACAAGTTCGCACATCGAACTTATGAACCTTTAGCTACTGTCTCAAGTCTGGGATGCTTCACTAGCTCTTCACTGATGCATTGCCACAACGAACCTTCACTGGCTTGTTCGCCCAAAGAACTTACAGGCCTTTTGCTAGTGCCTCAAATCTGGGAGCATTCGATGGTTCTTCGCCAGTTGTTCGCAAAGCGAATGTTCGCTAGCAAGTTCACCTAGCGAACTTACTGATATTCTTCTTTTCCTTTGGAAACCTTGCTCAATTTCCTAATGTCTCACACTTTGATGATTTAATGGCTATTTTATGTACAATAACACACAAATCAAAGGTACCAAAGGTATTTTCAAACAATTGAAGAGTGACAAACTTTCAAGTAGTAATTCCAACAAATCAACACAAAAGAGTTGGAAAATACCCATTATTAATGATTAATTTAAGGCAAGATTGACATCTAACACAGGTGCTCGGTGAGGGACATGTGCCGCCCTATTTGGGAGCCCTTGCAAATACATCACTATAATTTTCTTTTTTAAGATGTTGAATTTATATTTCCCTTATTACATATGATACATTAATGTGAACTTTTGTTTGACCTTATTGTTGTTGGTGAAATAATTTTTATGAATTTTCTATATACATGTGTATATATCAAATGTGAAATTAAAGTTCAGTGTTGTTGGAAGTTGCATGTCTCTAATATATTTAGGGGAGAACCCCAATACAATTTTGTTGCTTATCTCTTAAGTTTTTGTTTCATTTATTATTGTTTATTGAGTCTCCTATCAAATTGCACATCTTTGGGTTGAGTTTTGAATCCATTCATTTTAGAATGCATAATTCAATTGTTTGTATTTGAGTATGATTATTGTGTTTTATGTCAATCAGTTGAGTTAATGGAACAAGAACCATATTTGGTGTTGGTTCAAGTTATGTGGGAAGTGAAATCCGAAACTATTTTTAAAAACTTGAAAAAAAAAAGAGATTTATCGTGCGTGAGTCGAATCACTCATAACCTATGACTCGAATCAAATCAAATAGAGGAGAACAAGAAAATTCTCATGTCTGTAACTCGAATCACAATTTACACATGATTCAAGTCATGCAACACTATGACTCGAATCACAATTTGCACATGATTCGAATCACAAAATTCAAGTTAGCCACTGCCTAAGTTTGATTCGAATCACACTTTCTACATGACTCGAATCACAAAGCTTTTTACTTTTTCTGTTTGGTTATGTCCAATTTTATTCAAATCAAGGTTCATACATCACTCGAATTATGACCCTTCATGACTTGAATCACAATTATAATCTGACTCGAACCACAGGAAATGGGTCACTTTTCTTTAAATTAATCTTGTTCCACTCTACTTGCTTATTTAACTCAAATCAACAAATGTTATTAACTCGAATCTAACAACCATTTTCACCTATACTTGTGCATAATCTCTAACATATATAAATTTTCCTTGTCATCTCAATAGTGAACAAGAAATCTCAAACGTGATTTTGTGAAAACAACAACCTCCATTTTTGAAAACTCAAAATCTATTGCAAACATAATTTCTTTCATCTTCAACCTCTAGTTTGGATTTAAATATTGATTATGAAGATTTGTGATTGTTGAGGGAGACATGTCTTGAAAATAAAATTTCTTGAAGATTTGGTAAAGATTTCCAGGAAGCTTGCAGGATTGTGGTAGTTGTGATTGGTTGTGACAAATTCCATTGAAAAGAAGAAAGTTATTCTCTCTAGGTTGACCTTGGTAGTGCTGTTTGAAAACCTACAGACAAGGTAGAATTTCTTCTCAATTTTCAAATTGATCATTGCTCAAGAAATTGGTGGGGTCAAGGGTGATTGCCACACATGAAGACTTGGAACAAATTGGTGAAGCTGGAAGATTTAAAAAGCAAGAATTGAGTAAAGATTTCGCAGAAAGTTTTGCATCAAAGTTGTATGCAAGTCAAGATTAAGACAGGAGATTTAATTTTCTTAGTGTTATTGTAGATTAGTGATTGTATGAACTCGTGTAATATTTGTTAAAACTGATTGGAAGATCCACTTTCAATGGGAAACCATTGGAAAATGGTGTAGGCTCCTACGAGGACGATATAGTTGAATCACTACACATCCCAATGTTCTCTCTCTCTCTCTCTCTCTCTCTCTCTCTCTCTCTCTCGCATTTTAATTTTTGTAGGTTATTGCATGTTTAGATATTCATTTTTTAGTGTAGTTTATCGTTAATTACTGTTGGTAGCAATTTATTACATAAGTTTAGATTTTGTTAGAATTGGAACCTATTTGTGTTTTTGTGCTGATTAAATTTTGAAAACGGTGTTGTTAGAATCTTGTATCAATTGTTATTTTGTAAGGAACACATCTCGTGTCAATTGCAAAGTTTCAATTCGTTGTAGTTTGTAACTCTTTGGATATAATCTCTAATTAATATAAGATATTTGTTAATTGCGTAATTGTATCGGGGATTAATTTTCAATTCAAGTATAAGGTCTCTATTTTTTGCTTTAAGATTTCCGCATTGAAAAATTGATATTTCAGTCAAATTTTAAAAAGGGTCTATTCATCCCCACTTTGTCGACGATCAACACTATTTTGGAGTTTAGGCGTTATGATAATCAAATATGAAATTATAGCCTAATGTTGTTTAGATCAATAAGCCAATGGTCAAAACTATTTTAGCGTCGATGCTTTATGGTATCTTACGATATGATTTCTCTCGATTTGAGGTATTCGGGAGAAATTGAAGATTGGAAAATAAAATGATAGTATGGTTGTTGGATTATGATGACATATCATTTTATTTTACTATGTTCTACACAAATGACTAGTCGACAAAATTGGTGGTTTTTGTAGCCGTAGAAGGTGTTGTATTATTAAGGATATAAGTAATGCGATGATTGAATATTATTTAGTTCTTATTGAATGGTGTCTTAATTAAGTGTTGCATCCCGATATCATTTCTTTAATGACAATCTAAATTTGAAAATGTGTTATCAATTTGAAAGTTGTTATATATATATATATATATATATATATATATATATATATATATATATATATATATATATATATATATATATATATATATATATATATATATATATATATATATATATATATATATATATATATATATATAATTTTAATACTAGAGTTATCATCTTATACTCCAATCATTTACTTTGATCATTCTAAAAAATTGATTATTCTAGCTTTTGTAAGTAGTAAGTGTATTCTAATACCTTGTAATATCAATTATATTTTATACATGCAAACCAACATATTGCACAACCAGCCCAACCCAACAAGTCATAAACATGTTTCATCACTTAAAGCCCTCACAAGATCCCAACCTGATCGACTCTTTATATCAATTAAGTTCAAAGAAATCGAAACAAATTTAAACTCAATTAGATTCAAGTTTAACAAAAATAAGAAAAACTACTTCATACACTAATGTTTTGTTTTGTTTGGGAGTTTGGAGGTGGAATTTGAATAAAAAGAAAGCATAGGACAAAAAGAATGAAGAAATTTAAACGGAAAGAGATTTGAGGGGTTTATTTTTATTTATAATATAAAATCTCTAGTTTGGAGAAATTAAAAAATTATATTTAGGAAGGGTTTCCAAAAATTTGGAGAACTTTTGATAAATTATTCAAATATAATTTGTTATAATGTTATACAAATTAAAAATATATAAATGATAACTATTTATTTATCATTTTATATAAAATAATTCTTTAAAAATAATAATTATTTTCATATTTAAAAAAAATTCAAATATTTTAATTATATCAATAAGTAAAAGAAAAGAACAAATAAAAATACAAAACCCGAAAGAAATAAATATCTAAACGCCAAAATAGCAGAAAAGAAAAAGAAAAAAAAAAAAAGAATTTTGATCCCTTTAGGGCGGTGGTTCCGTATTGCATTTTTTTCTTCTTTTTCCCATCTTTATAAAGGTTCCAAAGATATAGCAATTTTACACTTTTGGTGAGTCAATTATTCTCTCTAAAAACGCATCAAAAATAAAAATAAAAATCATTTAATTTTGCAAATTTAGACCTTGAATCAAATTAATATTTTCAAACAATCAATTTAGAATCTATTTCAACAGTGAAAATTGTTGGAAAGCAATTAAAAGCATACCATTGCTACCCACATAATTGATTCACCATGTGTACACCAAACAAAATCACTTTTTATATAATCAATTTCATATAGTATATATATTATTCATCAGATTTGAAACAATATTTTTTCCAATAAAATCACAGCACCACAAGATCCAATCATAAAGTAGTGTTACCCATCTTTCATTTTCCTTCACCACTAATTAACCTTACAGGGCATATAACATGTCAACTTCAATTATTTCTCTTCATTATTATTATATTAACTTAATTTTCTATACACTGCTTTTGAATCTTTTCAGTTTCCTATATAAACACCATGCTCTATCTTTTATTCTATCTCACTCTTCTATCTCTCTTTGCTAGCTATATAGCTTTTTAGAAACTTTGTGTAGAAGAACAATATGGGTGCACTTTATTTCTTGATCTCAAACTTTTGCACTTCACCTAACACAAAAACCAAACGCAAACCAATGCAGGTATACTCTCATTCCTTAATATTTATTAGGGTTTATGGTTTAGGGTTTATTTATGGTTTCGACTAATTCAGAGTTGTTGTTTTTTCTCTAGACAGTTGAGATCAAAGTGAAAATGGATTGTGATGGATGTGAAAGAAGAGTCAGAAATGCAGTGGCTACAATGAAAGGTTTCAAGTTCCATAACTATACTTCTCAAAAGCTTATTATTTGAACTTTATAGTGACAGACAAAAAACCGTAGGTAAGTATCATCTATACCTACGATTTTGTCTGTCATTAAAAACTAGAGGATGCCGGGATTTCATTTCTATTTTTTTGAAATTTTTACAATAAGGTTAATCAAGAAATGCATGTGATCATGCAGGAGTGAAATCAGTGGAGATAAACAGAAAGCAAAGCAAAGTAACAGTGAATGGTTTTGTTGATCCAAACAAAGTGTTGAAGAGGATAAAAAGTACTGGAAAAAAAAGAGCTGAATTTTGGCCTTATGTTCCTCAACATGTGGTAACCTTTCCTCATCTCACAGGAATTTATGATAAAAGAGCACCAGCAGGATATGTAAAAAATGCACAAACATTTCCAGCATCTATTGATACAGAAGAGAAACTCATGTCATATTTCAGTGAAGACAATGTTAATGCATGCTCCATCATGTAACCAAAAATAAAATACTTATTCACTGCAAAAAATAAGAGACAGATAGATAGATAGATTTATAAATTAAAGAATAATTTCATTTTTTCTTCTGATTTGTTGCTTTTGAGGTTAGTGTGATGGAGAAGAGTGAATGTAGTTTTGTTATTTTGAACTATATAAGTTTTGGACAATATATACAATGCTATTGTTGCTAGGGTCAATTATTGAACCTTCGTGGAAAATGAAAAACGCTGGATCAGAATCAAACTTTATAAAGTAAATGGAAAAAGGAAAGAAAAAAATGAATTTTAAAAGGGTTTGGAGAGGAATTGGATTCTAGTTGCATACAAAGGCAAATCGAATAACGGAATTTAAAAGGACCACTTTTACTCCTAACTCCTACATAAAGCCAATATATGTACAACACGTCTTTTCTTTATCAGGTTTTATTCAATTTTGTTTTATGTTTTTGTTTTGATACAATATTCAGTTTTGTTTTGGTAGGGATATGAAAGAATTTTAATCATATTGGTGTTGAATTTAATGAGAGAGTTCAAACTACAAAGAATGTTGGAGAATTAAGTAGTTCAAGACGACTTACAACACAAAACACAGAGACTTATAATTTTTAGTGAAATGCTAAAATGACACCAAAATGTTACACCACACCGTATCATTATACATTATACCATACATTCTGCTTTTTTAATAGTTTTTTTTATGCTTTGATTTTTGTGCCAATGCTCAAATGCCTTAAAAAAGCTACGGTGTACATACAAGTGTAAGAAATTGAGTGTAGACATAGCAATGCTCTAATTTTTAAGATTAAACTATGATAAAAGAAACCTTTATGTATATATTTTATAATTAATTTATAGTTAAAAAGACACATTAAAAATATTTCACAAGTTTACTCTACCTTTTTATATAAAACTTTTCAAAAAATTTAGTCGGCTATGTCCATAAATACTTGATAAAATTATAGAAAAAAATTCTTTTAACAATATTTAAAAGATAAAAAGTTTGCATAGATGTCTTAGAGAACACAAAATAAAGGATTGTGTAAGGTTACTTTAACATGAGTCCCAACAAGAAAATTGTTGTCTAGTCACGTGATTCTGCCACGCGTATTTTATGTCGTAAATCACTTAAAATAATAATAAAAGAGAAAAATAGTTTTTCATATGGAAAGAAGTTTAAAATTTTTAAAAATAATAGTGTAATGTGTAAAATACGTCGCAAATGTTTTTTAAAAGTTAAAAAAATTTAGGTGGGAACAATTTTTTTTTAAGCAAGGTATATTGATGAAAAGAGTATTAGGGATACTCTAACCCTTGATACAAAGGATCAGCTCGGAAATAATAAAAAAAATGGGCAAAAAGAAAATCCAAACCAACTGAAACTATAAAAAACCCAGCAAAGGATTCTAACAAAAACTGAAAAAATTGCAGTTGGAATATGGATTATCTCCGACAAAAGACCACCTCCAAGCTGAAAATTTAATCTCTCATATTAAGTCCGAAATACTACACAAAGCCCTTTTGAAAAGAATATCATTCCTCAAAACCCATATATTCCAAACCACCGAAACCCAAACAATCCCAAGGTTCCGATTCTTAATACCTCTACTATTTTCTGCTTTCACCCAACACAAAAAGCTTCTCCACCCGCTCTCCTTGCCATCCTACTCGATATCATACCACCAACCCACCTTCTCCCAAATGATCTTAGAAACTCTACAAAAAAGAGAAGGTGATTTAAATCTTCCTCATCTTAAAAACAAAGTGCACAAACGACGTCATGAGCATACCGCAAAACTCCTCTACGAATGAGAAGATCCTTGGTCTGGACCCTATTCAAGAAACATCTCCAAACAAAAACGTGAATTCTAAAAGGGGAATTTGAGTGCCACATAGTACAGAAAGCGATACTTAACTCAACATCAATTATGTATCTGATTCTGCTCTTCTCAATAATAGTGGTACTGGAGCTAGTATTATAACCGTGAATACGGTCCAAGCTCCAAATAAGCTTGTCAACCTCTCCCTTAGTTGGGCAGCATTACGATAAAGCCGAAGCTAATGCCTGCAAGCCTGCTAACAGCAGATCTGGCAGCAAAACAGAAAGACCGAAACTCCCTTAAGACCACCTACCAGCAAACCAAAATCCTATATTATTTGCATAACACTCCTTTTGTCCACTTGCCATGAATAACTTTGGAAATCGATCTTTCAAAGGAACTATGGATAACCAAGGATCAATCCAAAGCCTCACAGTCGAGCCATCTCCCACTTGATACAAGATATAACTAGAAAAGGAAAAAAAGCATACCTTTTACGATCCTATCAATGAGAAGAAAATCTTTCCACCACGAGGAAGAATACTTCGAAGAAACAACACAATTACCATCTTTAATCCTTTTACGAATGTCGTCGTACCTAGCATTGAGAACATCCATCCATAAAGTGTCATTTTCGAACAGAATCCTCCATTTCTACTTTATTAACAGAGCCAGGTTAACCTCTTCAATCTTCCTAACTCCTAGACCACCTTTCTTTGTCGGCTTGCGCACATCGTCCCAAACTACCCAATGAATCTTCTTCGAGTCCTCGTTCCCTCCTGTTGCACCCCAAAATTTTCCCTCGCGTTTTCTAACTTTAACTGCCTTTTGTTTCGATTCATCTGCATATCATCTAGGTCGATCATTTCTCGCATACTGTCCATGTTATCAGCCAGAATGAGTTTATCGGAATTACAACCGCTTTTTCGCATTTTAGATAGTTTAAACCAGTTCAAATGATAAGATTTATTTCGAAATCGAACCAAGGTCGTATTCTTCCTGGTGATTTAGTCCGTGCTGATAATTTTGGTGCGTTAGTTTCTCGCTTTTAAGCATTTTGGTGTTCGACCCTTTTATTCGTTTTTATTTCGTTGCATTTTGTGATTTATTTTTAACAGTCGTTCGTTAATAGTTAATAATTAGTTTAAGATTTAGTTATGTTAATATAATTAATTAGTTTAGTTATAATATTAATTTAGTTTTTTAGTTAATTTAGAATTAGATTATGTTTAATTTTTAATTAGAATTTAATAACTTTAGATTAGGATTTATTAATTAACCTTAATTTATTTAGTCTAGAATAACTTTCAATTAGATTTTTCTTTGGAATTTAGCTTTTAACTAGAATATTTGATATTTAGAATATATTTAGTTAATAATTTAGTTTTAATTAAGATTAGATTAATATTAGTATTAGTTTATTTTAAAACTCTATAGGATTAGTTCTAATTAGATATTATTTTTAAAATTAGGTTTTAGTTTTAATATTTAGATTAATTTTAATTTATCTTAGGATTAGAATTATTTTTTTTAGTTAGATTTTAATTGATCCTTTGGTTAGATTATCGTGGCATTAGAATTAGAATTTAGGGTTTAAAATAACATTAGAATTAGAATTTTAGAATTGAATAAAAATAGAATTAAGATTTCGAATTTATTTAGTTTAAAATAGAATTAAGATTTAGAATTTTAGAAATAAAATTTTAATTTAGAGAAATAGAATTACTTTAGATTAGATTTTAGAAATTAGAATTTTGATTAGAAATATAATTAGAATTAATTATTTAGTTTAGAATAGAATTAGAATTTAGGATTTAGAATCTGAATTAGTTAATTAATTAAAATTGTTACAAAATTCAGGAAAAGGGCAGGGACCATGTTCGCTACCGATCTAAGACGCATGCAATCAGGAGAGCTTTATGGGAGATGCATCGCCTGCCTCCCTCATCGCCCCCATGGTCCCTTTACTAATATACCAATACAAGGAGTAATAATTTGTCTTTCTTGTTGAAAAGTAAAGAGTAAGCTTTGCCAATGTTAGGAAGATGATCCATTAACATAATTTTAGCTCTAATAGCAGTATAATGCTCATTCGAGCCTTTCAAAAATCTAATTACTTGATCAGAATTCTTGTCGCTATGAATATTGTCAATCGCTTGATAATTAATATGACAGTCACAAAGAATTGAAAGAAAAGTAGCAAATTCTTGCCACCACTTTTTAACATTTTGTGTAATTAAAGAGATGGAGAAATCACCTTATTTCAAGGTACAAATTTCCTCGTGAATATTTAAAATTATGAAAATGTCTCCATGATAAAACTCATATTTCAACTCTTTCCAAATGCTAGAAGTTTTTTCTATCTATAATTTGCTTTGAGAGATTTTTGGATCAATCGAGTTATTGAGCCAACATACGATTATATTGTTGTACCTATCCCAAGCTATCAAATCACGATCCTCGTCAAGTGTTTTTGTGGCAAAGCCCATTGATAAAGTGAAACTTGTTTTTGGAATGTAATGTCAAAGTCATAGATCTGGAAAAAGAATGGTAGTTGCCAAATTGAAGCGTAACAAGAACAAGTGTTGGATTTTATTAGGGTGCACCAAGTAAGAGTTTAAGGTGTCATTCAAATAATTTTTCTTCGCCTTTGATGAAAAACCACCACCATTGTTGGTGTTTTATAAACTATCAACATAGTTTAAAAAAATGAAACAAAGTGCAATGACAAAAGTCAAAGAAAAAGGGAAATTGATAGAAGAAAGATAAGATTTTTGAATTAGTGAGTGCAAACGGCTATGATGAAACCAAATCATAGATCGATGATACCATATGAAAAATGAAAGTAGGAACACCAAAGTGAAAGCATGAACACCATTGAAGAAGAAAAACAAAGACAATGTATTAAACGTAAAGTTGTTTTTCATAAATCTGAGCATTACAAAGCTATATCTCATCTTATATAAAAGATGAGTTTATTATTACTCTAGTCAATTCTAATTAATCAAAACTAATATAGAAATCCATTATAACTAATTAATTGTTTAAACTAAAATAAAATGACTTGAATCTCAAATAACCTTTGTATGCTTCTCGACTTCACATTTAACAATATCTGAACATATATGGATCATATGAATATCAATTTTATTCAAATGAATGAGCAACACATGACTATTAT